AACGCCACGAATTGAGCTCACGGGCTAGAAACAAGGCAAAATACGGTGTAAAGCATCATGTGTGGTATCGACTGAAGTAACGATACAACGATCATCAGTTGCACGAAGTCGCGAGCCATCGTCGCCATCCTGCTTTTGCGAGCTCGCAAGAGCCGGCATAGATGACGGTTTATCAGACTTATCATCATACACAATCAAAGTATGGTAAATCTCATGAATCCTTTTGTTGTTCGAGCTCCATTTCTCGGAGGCTCTGTTTTAGCCGCCACGAGTGATCTAGGCGACCTATCAACCCTCTCCGAGTCAGATCTACCTTTCGACTCGCTTGAGAGAATGAGTTCCGTCTAGGAGCCATTCTTTTCACGTGGTGAAGAGCCACGCTCACCTACATCAACAGGGGCCGCAACATTAGGCGAAGAAGTAGACGAATCGTCAGCCGCGTTATCTTGCGCACTGTTACACGCAGCTATTCCTTCGTGCAGTTGCTTGTTTTGCGGCTATCGATGTGCTCTTGATGGAATTGTTGACAATGTGGTGCGGGGTCAGAAATTAATAAATCGGACCCAACAAGTGCTTCCTGTCCCAAAGTGATCCAACGGTAGACACTAACTCGAGATAGTCTACAGTGACTATCAATTGAGGGGGTGTAACGGGGTGACCGTGTTACACAAAATTGTTATTTGCAAGAAATGACAATAAAGAAAGTTATGATGAATATGCTTTAAACAGCATCGCTATCTACAGCAATATTGTTGCAGTGACCAAACGTATACTCATTGACTGCTAAAGTTCATTGTATCAACACACCTATCGCTTCTTGACGCGCGCAATTGGTGGTTAGCGAAAATATGCATTTGAAGTTTGTAGATTAATACAAACACAGTTTTGAGGAAGCGAAGAAGATTCATTAAAGAAAACTTAACCGTATTAAATACAGAGTTCTTGTTCAGATTCTTCACTTCCTCTGCACGTTCGGTGTCCGTGACGTTTGGTAGCGCACGCTTTCGTACTGTGTCGCACAAGGGCTTACCTGTTGTCTGGTAAGAAGTGCGCGCCATTACACTGGAATCCACATGATGCGGGGTGGTATCGCGCGTGCTTTTCGCGCAAGATTTCATAACAACCTCTACTTACTTAACCCTCGCATCAACGAAAGTACGAGCAAACGTTGCGATACAGTAAATTGTCTAGTGTATAATGATAGGCCCATAATTGGCCTAGAAGTTAGTAAGTGCAACCATAGTTCTATATCCGAACGACACAGCGGCATAAGCATGAGTTAGGACCAACGAGTAAGTCGTACTTCGAATAGTTGAAGGTAGTTTGAGCACTAAGCCATATCTTTTAGTTTGTTAATCCATCATATGTGAGCGCACAGTGGATCATCCGAGTATGCGACCGTTTACATATCCAAATCATCTTCGCTCTGAGTTGCAGATGCAGTTGCGCAAACAGCCACCGCCACGGCGCTGTCCCTTCATACGTTGACCTACACCGACACCGAAGGTTAGTGCGGCGCAGCAGCTCCACACCAAAATATGCGTGTTTACGGAAGCGTCCGAATCGGGAAGGCTACTCCAGAATCTTTGCGCAAAAAGTTGTCGAGTCCGTTTGACTTGTGCGATATGTTTCGGTGGATAGGCAAGAAAACAGCGAGAATAGACAGCACAGTGCGTCGTCTGAAAGAAGTAACGGGACGATCGCAAGATCGTGTGATTGTTTGAAGTGGACCTGATCCGGGTTGCTTACATGCATGTGAACCAACACTAATGTTTACAGGACTCAGCTTGAGATCAGACATCCCTGCGCTTCGATTTTGCGTTCATTCACACAGTGAATGCTGATTGATATTGGCCAGACTTTTGCCAACGTGGACTAGTATTGCTTGAAGTGCTTGGCATCCCACTTCGCCTCTAGCGTTTGGAGGAGGGAGGGAAGTGTCCCAGCCTTGAACCTTGCTCAGTGCAATCCAGAAAGACTGTTCTCGTAGTGTCCCAGCCTCGAACCTTGTTCAGTGCAATCCAGAACGACTGTTCGTGGACAAATTTTCGGCTGTGCATAACGAAGGATCGACTGAAAACCCGTTTGTGATGGGGACTTCCAGCGACACGTCCTAGTGGCGCGGTATCATCTCTAACGAAACAAACGCAACAACAAGGCGATCGATTACCTGGATTACTGGCACAGAAAAAGAGCAGCTACGACAAAATGTAAAGGCTTTTGAATCAGCTCACAACGTCGACGATGGGTGGTACTGAAGTGGATTACGCGACACACGCGGTCAGCATGACGGTACACATCATGGCAAGCAGCATTGCCGTTCGCGTGAACTTGGCTCATTGTTTACTCTCCACGTCGCTGCAATCGGTCGCCGTTTTTCATTCTTCAATTTGCTCACAACTCCGCACATCTTGCCAACCTTTGCTTCGATTCCGAGATTCACTGCGTCTGACAAGATGAAGTTTACTTGTTCGGTTGCTGCTGTCATTATGGCGTGTTCCTTCACGGTTCCTGCCGATGCCGCCACGGATCCCACGTGGGCATACCATGCTAGAGGCAAGGGCATGGTGACCACGTCCCAGTGGGACACCATCTGGGAGACGTGCGGCGGTGACCGTCAGTCGCCCATCGACATTGACACGACTGGTGTGTTTAACAGACCCACAACGTTTCCGCTCCGGCTCCATGGACAGTGTACCACGTACAATCTGTCGGAGCCCCATGAACCGCTCGAGGTGGACGCCACAGGAGGTACAATAGCCGCCCGTTTTATCGTGCATGTCTATTGGGTTGTCAGTTGTAACTTCAAATTGACTGTGGTGTATCTAGGCGACTGCGGCGCCTCGCTACGTGGCGAGGTCTACGACCTGAATCAATTCCACCTGCACGCTCCTTCGGAGCATACCATCGACGGAAAGCAGCTGGACGGCGAAATCCACTTTGTGCACATGAACAGTGATACTGAGGCGCTTTTGGTGGTCGGCGTCTTTTTGGAGATCGGTCCGGTGTCCGACAAATGGATGGGACCCGTTCTTGACGCTCTGGAGCAGGTCAACTCTACTGCCGTAACCGATGCCATCGTCGTTAATCTGTACGTCACACGATACAGGCCGACATAGCATTTAGCATCGACTGACAGGCTTTTGATTATGTCTCGTGTGCAGGGAATCCTACGCGACGATGATACAGAAGGCGGTAGTAAAAGGTGCGATCTACAACTACCCTGGCAGTCTGACAACCCCTGGCTGTGAAGAGAATGCCGACTGGTGGGTAGTGGAGAAACCGATCACGATCACCTCGGCCGACTTTGATCGTCTCCACAAGGACTTGGTTGAGTACCCTATTACGGACAACGGCAAGAACGCTCGCCCGGTGCAGCCTCTGAATGACCGTATTGTCACGCGCTACAGATTTGGAGATCCGAAGAAACCCGTCTCGACTTTCGACCTTTCGTCGATGTAAGCGATAGCACGTGCTTCGAACCCGGGACTGATATTTTCCATCTGAGAGAAGACCTGTAACGCCGCCGTCACGCTTACGCTTTCGTCGCAAGAAGTCCCCGTGTTTGCTGTCATGGCTTGTAGTCAAACTAGTTGTTATAGGTACCGTACGACTACACGATCCGATGTGAATGTTGAAGGCATCGATATAGCATATGATGAATGAACGTATGATCGCCAGACCGGCGGCAAGTGGATTTGTGTAAAATAGCACCGAGTCTCCCAACACTAGTGTAGCTCTCATTTTAGTCCCGAACCATTTTTGCGTCTTGTGAGTGGAGCTCATAATGTTGCTGCGGCAACAAGCGAGCAACTCAAGTGAAACGCTGCGCACGCGCTGGCAGTTGCCGAGCAACGTTTACTTGCAAACGGTTAGAAGAGACGCTGCCCGATGGTTGAGTGCTGGATACCCACGCCTCTCGCGTTACTTATGCATATGTTGCTGTTCTCCGCCAGACGCGGTTGATCGATGCAAAACGGTATGTGGCCTCGAGGTCATTATCTGCTGTAGTAGAACCTTGGTCGTCAGTATTGGCGAAACAAACGAGCCATGGACACTTTGTCGAATGGATCTGACCTTTCGTGTCCATCGGGCTGATTCGAATTTATGGACCACTATGGGCTCGTCGATCTGATCCTTCTTATCGAGAACATGTCCTTGTCGAGTTCCTGAAACATCTTTGATATTCTTGAGTTCGATGCCCCCCCCCCCGACACGGCGCTTTACGATCCACATCCGCATGGAAAAGCAATCTAATGCTTAGCTTCGAAGCGCAACGAAAGATCGACATGTTCAGCACATTGATCACGTTAAGTTTTTGACGAAACCATCCAAGCTTGGCACATTTTTCTTCCTCATAGTAAAACCGCGCTCTAATTACTGCGGGAGCATTTAAGCGATGCTTTCGTGTATGTTGTAATCATGCGGTACTGGGTGCTTACCAGAACATCTGAAAGTACTTTGTAACGAAATCACGCCACACCTGTGGTAATTACACAACATGTATGTGTTACATAACATGTGTAGTTCACACAAGAGACGAAGTCCCATTAAATGTGATATCAGAACGCCATATCAGCTGCTGGGGGATGACGTCTGTCAGCCACCGAATTACTAGATCTTCTAGGAGGTAATAAGTAATACATTATTGTTTAGATTAATTACATTCGTTAAGGTGTTCAGTTATGTATATAGAAATAAAGTTCAGTTCCCCTTTTGATAGCTTAAGACACATGCTTCACGAAGCGTCTTTGATCGTTAAGAGCTAGCAACGCCTGTGATGGTAGCTGCTCTTGAGCAATCTGCGCTGTGATTCTCTTGAATCGATTGACCCTCTGAAACAGGGACCGTAAACACTAAAAGCCCTATGTAACGAGGTTACACGTCGACTGGTAGTCGACAATAGGTGTGGTACACACAAGGGATGGGATCTCCTTTAAAGTAATATTATAACACAAGTATCACCTGTTGAAGACTGATGTATGTCAACCATTGATTACGAGATCTTTTAATAGGTTTATTTAGGACGTAAGTGAGAAGGTTAATTACTTTATTCTAAGGTGTTCTTTTAGGTTAAAAGAAGAAATAAAATTCAGCTCCCATTTTGATCAACAAAAGACACGTGCCTCTCTGAGGCGTCTTGCGATCGTAAGGAAGTAGCAACGCCTTGTTAAGGCAGCTACTCCTTGTGCACTCAGTGCGTTTAATTATTTGAATCGTTTGGTCTCCCTGGAACAGGGGCCGTAAGCTCTCTGAGCTTGTTGACTCTTTGAGTCGGGTTCTTTGAACCAAAGCTTAGCTCTCGGAGCTGTTGACTCTTTCAGTCGGGTTCGTAGAACCAAAGTTGCTCATTGAGCGTTAAGACTTCCTCTAACTTAAGGAGCTGTGTGGCTCCTCTACACTCGGTAGCACTTGTAGTCAATCTACGCCTGAGTCGGTAACGACTGATCCTCTATGAGGATGGAGCAATCCACACCCCTCTCTCAGGCCCATATGGTCGCGTTTGATAAGCTGACCACGGCCGTAGGCCCAGAGTATGTGGGTTTTCTAGCTGCACAAGGTCCCGATGTGCTCAATGCAAGTGTCGAGACCTTCATAAAGTATGAAAAGGCCCATTTAGGACAGGTTCAAAACCAAGAAGTGTAGGATATGCCAACACGCTTTGTGGCAATGCCACCAGAAGAGGCTAAGCCTCGTTCCCTTCGGGTGGACGTTAAACATCATTCCGGGAAGGAGGGGGGAAATCTGACTACTGGATCCGTGAGATCGCGGTGGCCATGAGCTCTGGCCTTATCTCACTTGGACACCAGCGAGTCTCGCTGTCCAACTCTAAGATCGATGGGAGAGCTCGAAAGTGGGCTCTGAGTTGCAGCACGTCGTTTGACTTGGCGTTATCCACATTGGATTCGCTCAAGCTAGACCTTTTGCGAGTTTTCTCGCCGCCTATTCAGGCCTATCGCGTACGCTCACTCTTCTTGTCTACCCGTCAGGGTAAGAATGAGTCAACGGACTATGTCCAAGCGTTGAGAACTCTGATGGCTGCTATGCAGTCTGACCATCTCCCCGAGACAGTCTATGTGACTGTCTTCATTGAAGGTCTGCGCAATGACGTTGCCAGGACCGAGGTCTTTCGGGTCCATTCCTCTACTTTTGAGGAAGCTGTTAACATCGCTCAAAATGCTGAGCACAAGTTCAAGTCGGCCAGACTTGGCTGGAATGGGTACAACCCAATCTTTGCGAGGGCAACCTCACTCAACATCTTGACTTACTGTAAGGCTGAACCGATTGATCTCAGCCATGCTGAAGATGAAGGTGAAGCGGAGCTTCAGATTGCGGAGCAACAACAGGAAGTGAAACGCTGTTATATGTGCGGAAGCACTAAACATTTGCGCCCCACTTGCCCTTTGCGTAAGCAACAACCGACTCATATGGGTCGAAATTCCAGCCACAACCAGAAGTCTGGTATGGCACGGAGAAACGTCGACACCCAGTAGGTGCGGGGGCTCTACTGGTTGCCCTACTGGGGTAGAACTGAGTTCTGTTGCTTCTCTACGAGGTAGAGTGAAACAGGGCTTAGCCTCACGGAGCTATGTGCCCACCAGCACAGAGCGTGGATACAAGTCTGGCCTGTTAGTCGCCGAAGCGAAGGTTAAAGGATTTGAGAAGCATTGATCGATCTTAATAGACTCCGGATTAGCATGCAAATATGCTCGACGTCGTTCATTGAGGGAAGTCAGCGATACGCTGAAGCGCTCAAAGCGCATGGGGGAGATTCAATCATCGTTCGTTTAGCGACTGGTAGTCGCGTCACGGTGCCTAAAGCTCCGTTGAACTCGGGTGTGAAGATTTCGGACTTTGACAGCATTGAACGCTGTCTTGTCTTCGATTTGGATTCGAGATATGATCTCATCCTGGGTATTTCTTGGCTTGAACGCCATGAGTCATGTATTGATTGGAGGTTTAAGACCTTAGGCGCCACGCGCAATGTTCCTAGCGAAGCTTTGGAGAGTCATGAACCCACCTTTGCTAGGCAACAAAATCACTATTGGCGCGAGCCATTGACGGAAGATGTATATGTGCTGGACATTAGTATGTCCGAGTTAAATATCTTCAATGTCAATGACATCCATATTGAGCGGAGCTCTTTCACCGTATGTAAGGGGAGTTATACTCCGTTGAGTGATACTCGTTGCGATACTGAGTCACTACATGCTTCAGGCATGATTGGCTCAGGGCTGAGACATCAAGAATGTAATTCCTCTGATGTGAGTGGGGTGGCACGTGAAATTACACCGAGTGAGGGCGGCCGAGGTGGCACCTCACTGAATGTCGGTAATGACATTGATGGCGAGAATCCAGAGTGTTCAAGGATGAGCCCGGATGCTGTACGTGAAGTGGTACGTTTCAATCTACTGGGTGAAGTGTTCGAGTTACGCAACACTTCACCAGATGTCGTTCAAGGCATGAGCTCCCGTATAGAGCGTTCTCATATAAATAGCAACCACAGTGACCCTACTGTCCCGGCCTCCAGAAGGCGTGAGGGTTTCTTTGAGGAAAAAATACCAGCGTAGGGTGGCAACTGCTAAGCGCCTAGCGTCTAAGAAGTCACGAAGTGATAATAGTAATAATACACTATATAAACTTATCAATGGGTTGACTGGCCAGATTAATGGCAACATTAGTCTTGAGACTCTTCCATCCTTGAACACTCTTTTTGAAATAGACGAGACGTCTGCTGGCAAAGTCAGCCAAGCCTTACAGGCAGGAGAATTATCCGAGTTAGTGGTCATTCGGCCGGATATTGAGCTAAACTCATCCTCGTTATTGGACGAGTCTATCCTTGAGGACACAAGGGTGGCACTGGATGCCCGTAGTGGATCTTCGATCCTTAAGGATACCCTTGATCCGTTCTATGCTTTGGTAAAGGAGTTTCAAGACGTGGTGTGTCACAACCCACCGTCCTTCTTACCTCCCGATAGAGGTGTACGTCATGAAATTGACTTGGTTCCTGGAACTCAATACTGCGTAACACGGCAGTGGCCTTACCGAAGGAATAGTAGGACGTCATTTACGACTTCTTTCGCGCAAAGCACGCGGCAGGAATGGTACGTGAGAGCAAATATTCACATTCCACACCGACCTTCTGTGTCAAAAAGCCCAATAGGATGTGGCGCATTGTTCATGCTTACACTTAGCTTCATGCGGCCACTATCCCGGCTCAGACACCAATTTACGAGGAATGATGTTCTTCAGAACAGCATAGTAGGATGTACAATGTACAGTGCGCTTGAACTAGTCGATGGCTATTACCAGCTTCTCATGCGAAAATGCGATATTCCGCTGACAGTGGTCAGCACTCCAAGCGGTATGCTCTGGGAGTGACTTGTTTTTTTCGCAAGGGTTATCAAATTCCCCGGCTACGTTTAATCGTCTTGTGGCAAAATTGTTTATACCTCACAGAG